CAACTGAGCCCTCCCCTTTCTTTCCTGCCTCTCCCTCTCCTCTGTTTTATCAAAGCTTATTTCTTCTTTAATAAACTGAGGCCCTATTCACATGGCAAATTTGCCATGGGAGAGCCATGATCGAATGGCGGAGTTTCCGGGCACGATCACATTGCAACATCTGGCAAGTGGAGCGCACCCGTGGCCAACCTGTGGCATACTGCCGAAAATGCGGAGTTAAAAAATACCTGGTTGAAGGTAGTAGCAACCGGCTTGCCATGGGCTGCCTCTGGAATGCGTCGGTGTGATCAAGCCGGCGCACCACTTTTTCCTCCAGCCCCTCGTTGACATGGAGGGAAGGTACCGTGGCATACCGCTGACACATGGGATTGCGTTATGGTGCATTAAATTGCAGTGCCACAAATAACCATGCCTCCCCCCTGGTGTTATCCGGCCCGTGTGACCGGGGCCTGAGTTATTTTCTTTAAAGAATTGGTGCTTCTTTCCTCTGCATGTTTAAACTCTGCCAACAACATTCTGGTCCCAGTGTGAAGACCACTGTGAAAAAAGGGAAAGTTTATGTAGCTCGGTAGACAAAAAGAAGAAACTGCAAAACAGCTGCTTTCTGCATGGCTCAGCACAACTACCTACTAGATAGGTTGACTGACAACAATTTTCTCATCTGGAAGGAGAGAATGAAAAAACGCTTACTTGAAATGGGACTCTGGTATGTCATCAATGAATCTCAGTCAGGAGATGATTCCCCAGAAAATCAGAAGTCCTGGGACATGCACAATGAGAAGGCAATAGGTGCATTAATAAAAGGTTTGTCCAAAAGAGATGTTTTGTGAGTCATTCAAATGCAAACTGCAAAGGCAATCTGGAATGAATCCTTTCTAAAGAGCCAGCTCTATATCCAAAAGAAGCCTGAAGGATGCCTGAACTGGGTAATTTGCAAGGGCACTTAGATCAAATTCTTGCTCTGAGTCAAGAGTTAAGAAGTTCTGGCAAAGATGTTGCAGAACAGGATTTGGTTGTTTTGATTTTAGTTAGTCTACCCAAGACTTATGAAAATGTTGTATGTCAAATAGAGTCAAAAGGAAATCTCTGTCTGTCAAATGCCATAAATAAACTGGAGCAAACACTCAAACATAAACAGTTTGAGGAGCTCAGCAGAAAGGCTGAGCAGAATGCTGACCAAGTAGCTCTATACGAAAATAATAAAAACAAAGTAACTTGCTATTCATGTGGAAAACAGGGGCATATTAAAAAGCACTGCAATGTTTTTAAAAAGAAGAGTGTCCTCCCAAGATAAATAAAAGGGAAGCATTTGAAATAGCCATCCCTGAAGAAGTAACTAAAGATGCAACCAAAAGTCATATATGGCTCTTAGATAGTGCATGCTCAATGCACATGAGTGTACACAAAGAATTTTTAAAACTCACATGAAGAAAAAAGAGAGATACTAAGTGTAGCTGATGGGAGATCTGTTGTGGCAGAAGGGGTAGGATCGGGGACTATAAAATGCAGACTCCCAGACAGACAGGTCAGAGAATCATAGAATGTTAGAGTTGGAAGGGATCTTGCAGGTCATCTAGTCCAACCCCCGCACTCTGCAGGAGCATAGCTGAAAGATAGCCCTATATACCTACAACATACCCGAAAGATGGTCATCCAGCCTCCACTTGAAAACGTCCAGCGAAGGAGCATCCACCACCTCCCGAGGCAGACTGTTCCACTGCTCAACCACTCTTACAGTTTGGAAGTTTCTCCTGATATTTAGCCGTTAACGACTCCCCTGTAATTTCCACCCATTAGATCTAGTCTTGCAATCTGGAGCAAGAGAGAATAGATCTGCTCCATCTTCTACATGACAGCCCTTCAAATACTTGAAGACTGCAATCATATCCCCTCTAAGCCTTCTCTTTTCCAGGCTCAACATACCTAACTCTTTCAGCCTTTCCTCGTAAAACTTGGATTCCAAGTCTTGATCAGGAAGGAGAAATCCTTATCGAGAATTGTTTGTATGTTCCACAACTAGCAAATAACTTGCTTTCAGTAAGAGTTCTTGGAAAAAGAGGAATGGTGACCTCTTTGGAGGAAAGATATATTATTAAACAAGATGGTGAACCAGAATTTGGCCAAAGGCATACAGATAAATATATGTACAACTGAAAGGAATTGCATGCATTGCATCTAAGCAAAGGGGACAAGATCAAGTGTCAGTAACAATCATGAACCAAACCAAACAAGGCTCCCCATAGAGCTCATTCATAGTGATGTTTGTGGTCCAATGAAAACAGAGACCCCTAGTGGGAACAAATGTATTTTCACTTTCATTGACAATTTCTCTAAGTACATAGTTACCTACTTGATCAGGGAGAAGAGTGAAGTATTTGAAAAACTCAAGGCATATGTTGTAGTGGTTAGCAATAGGTTCCAGAGGAAACCACTGGCAATCTGAACTGGCAACAGAGAATGCATGGGATATGACATGAAAAGGTATTTAACTGAACAAGGTATTGAACATCAACTCACTGTCCCATACACACCAGAACAAAATGGCATAGCTGAAAGGAAAAACCACTCCCTGACAGAAATGTGCACATGCATGTTACTAGAAGGGTATCTACCAGAAGAATACTGGGAAGAAGCCACCATCACAGCCACTTATCTACAAAACAGGCTGCGCACAAAAGGTGCCAAGAGTACGCTGTATGAACTGTGGTAGGAGCGATGTAGTCTACACAGACAAAAAGGAAAAAACTGTAAAACTATAGAAAAATGGACACTATAGAATTCAAACCGATGGAAGAAAACAAATTGCATCAGCCAGAAGCAATGCAATCAGCCACCTTGGAACCTATAGATGACACACTGGAAAAGCCCCAGAAACCAGAAGGGGATGAGGAATCAAAGGTCAGATAATCAGCTAGATCCAACAAGGGAGTACCCCCAATAAACCTCTCCTACCTGACGAAAATAGACCGCAATGGAATCTTCCACATGGGAAGACATAAAGTGAATGCCTGCTAATCAGGCAGAAAGACAGAGAAATGCCACAGAAGAAGGAATTAAATCTCCAGTCAAGAATCAGAAATGGACATTCACAGAAGCACCTCCAGGATGGAGGGTAGAATACAAATGTACAGTTGTTTAAACGTACAGTTGTTAAACTCAAACGTTGTTTTACATAGTTGAGATTCTGCGAAGTCAAATGAATCTTGTGGACTTGCACAATAGACCTTGAGAAGGGGTGTTGGAATATACAAGGTCTATAGTGCACCTACTTGAAGAAGATCAGAAGAACAGCCTACTGGGGGCAGCCGAAGGACTGCTAGTTAGCATAGCTAGACTGGGGACTTCCCACAATTTCAAATTATGTCTTTCCTGTCTCCTGATTGGTTCTTAGGA